ACACACACACACACCTATGTTTTCAGTAAATGTTTTCAAGCAGTACCATGGAGAAATTATTTTTCATTGTCCCCTTACTGAGACAAGTATACTTTTTACCTGTTTTCTTCTCTGAAGGTCCAGATTATAGTAGCCACGGAGAACCTGCTTAGGTTTGGTTGCATACGTTGCCCTGCCTCCCTTATAGTCATACCATGCACCAGAACATGATCTCTGACAGTTGAATTTGCATTTTACTAGGCTTATATACTGTTTACTAATTGAGTTCACTGATTGGACACGTGTTTTCAATTTTGAGTGGTAGTGTGTAAATGATGAAAACAGTGTGTTAGTTGTGTTAAACTTCTGTAGCCTGTGTGCACCATTCTGGGTACAAGTGCACCACACTGCTAAATGTGTTTTGTGTTTGAGAATGTGTTTAGAGTTTTTGTGTCCTAACCAGATGAATAGTGTTTAAAATTTTAACAACTGTGGGATTGATTTGATGAACGAGTTTTGGTAGTTTACAGTTTAGTTTTTACAATGGGATTTAGTGTTTTATCATTTCAGAAAAACTGTAGATTGATGCAATTCCTTAGCAGGTTTGTAGTGAAGGAATTCCATGCTAGCGATATAGCCTTAAATCTTTATTCACGATCTAAGTGTTTCCTGTTCTTGATCACAGAAACCACACCACCCCATCACATCCTTCTACACTATGCCATACCTCCTTGTACCATCCATGTGAATGTAAATAAACTTCATCTCTTACAACCTACTCCCTGGATGTCGGTCTTTCCTTCTGACCGAGGATAACTATTTTAGCACAGCCCAGCATTGAATTGACAAACACCAATCTGTACAGTCAGAGTAAAACAAAATTTCAGTGCTACAAGATAAAGTTCAGGGAAAGTTTTTTCATGGTTCAGAGGCTGCTCAGCAGAGGATCATTCAAAGATGAAATGAACTGTTATAGTTTCTAACTTTGCTAGATAGTGTGTGGAACAAACCTCCTGACAAAAACTGCCAGAAATCTTAAAAGTCAACCAAACACACACAAAGTGTCAGGGCTGTAAGCAAAAAACAAATCAGACTGTGCCCCCCAAAAAGCTATTAACCCGTGTGGTTATTACAGTAAACACTGCATTCTTTTCTCTGTATGTTTTACTTTATAAACTGATTTATTGTGAGAAACAAAATAAATGTTAGACTCAAGGTGTGAAAGACAACTGTGAAAGCTTTTGTACTGCAACGGTTTTAAAAGAGGACCTGAACTGTTCATTGACTGAGACGACTCTCAGTGCCCCCTGACTGAAGTCTCTCCTCATGCATGGGAAATAAAGGTGTTGTTTTTTTTAATGGCTCATCATGTCTGGAGGCTTTGTTAGTGAACTTCCACAACAGTTCAGTGACATCACGAACAGGATGGTCCAGTGTTCTCACTGAAGGACGGCTCTGGGACGGCTGATCACCCCGAGATAGCTAAACGCTTCGGTCCTGCCGGCTGGTTAAAGCAAAGAAAAAGGCGGAGTTGCAGGGCCGTGTTTCAGAGACCACCAAGATCATCTTGACAAATCGAGGGGAAACTCCTGCAGAACAGTGAGCTGTATCTACCCTATATACAAGTCACGAGAGTTTTGTGCCTGGCCGAGGGGGAAGCAGCTGCTGACTCCAGAGTTCGAGTCTCCGAAGGGAAAATCCTGGGGTTCAAGTCCCCAGGCCTGTGTTTGGTTCTGGTCCATCACAGGGGACAGTGGTTTGAGTCCACTGTTGATAATTATTTCTGCATACTACAGTGCGTGAAGTGATGGTTTTTTATTACTTTTCTGCTGGGAAGGGAAGAAGCCCATTGGAGGGGACGCTCTGAATGTAAATATGGGATCTAGATCCAGTAAGGCGGCAGACATTCCACCGGGCGGCCAGGGACAAAACTTAATACTTGACAGTATGGTTTAGAAATGTGGGTTTGGGTGTATGAAATATGTTGTTAAGTGGCAAAAAGAAAACGGGTTTCCTGAAAAAGAATCACTGTGTCAGGGCTCTGTGTGCGGTGTAAAATTATGATATTATTTTATGCCATGTTATACCCCTAATTAAAGATTGTGAATTATTATGTAGTTTTAGTTTGCATTATTCTCCTGAATTAGAAGAAGCTGATAATATTGATTAGTTAAACTGATTTGCATTACATTAATTGCTGACTTGTTGTGAATGAATGATATTGTTTATGATGCATTATATTGCTGAGTTATAAGAATACTGTTCGCAGAAGGTTATTGTCTAATTGTCTGAGTAGAAGAGACAGAGTGTGCTGGAGTTTTCTGCCCATTTCAGCAGGAGCAGATAAACAGGACCAAGGTCGTAGCTTAGGCTGTGTGAGAGAGAGCATGTGAATGTTTAGCTTTTTATGATAAGTGAGCACCAGAGGTTATAAAGTTGAGCAATGCTCCACATTTGAGATTTTGAGGCTGTCTGCATCAGTGTCATCTCCACGTGTGATCATTAAATCATCGTTTGACTCACCGGCGACCATGTTGTTATTGTGGTTTTTTCTTGTCTCATCCCAATATTTTGAACCTTAACAGCGGGCAGGCAGAGATGAGGATCCAAATGCAGGACTCGAACACAGAATTGAAACTCAAAAACCTCAGCTTTATTGCTGGCAGGAAAACAAACATGAAGTGATGATGGAACACTGAGACCAAGGACACACAGGCATAATCTGATGGTACGACGCGACACCGAGCATGGGAAAACACAGGGCTTATATACACAGGGTAGTAACGGGGGAATCGGCAACAGGAGGGAGACACAGCTGGGAGAGATCAGGGCTAACGAGACAGGGGGAACAAAGCTGCACACACTAACATCAGACAGGAACAAGAACCCTCAAAGTAAAACAGGAAACAAAACACACTTTACAGACTAGACAGAGACAGACTTGACACTGACCAAAGGCTACTAAATGATAATCATAATCACAACAGTATCAGATCATAAATCATAATATAGAAAAACACCAAGATAACTGAAACACCAAGTACCAGAGAAACATAAAGGAAAATCCATGATGCAAAAGTACCAAAACATAATGAACTCAAAATACTGGGTCCAACGGACCCAGAACCGTGACACGCTGAGTTTTAACCAGTTAAAGAAAGTAGAGGAACAGTTGCGGGAAGAGGAAGAAAAGCTGTTAAAGAAAGGGAAAGTTAAGACGGTAGATTTGTGTAGGGTAAGCAAGGAGAAAGAATGTTTGAAAATGTGGATGATAGAAGCAGAAAGGAGGGAAACGAAAGCAGCTTTGAAAGAATTGCCTAGAGAAGTGCATGTTAATGAAAGAGAGAAAGGAAGGGAGGCTGACGCGGTGTCCACCTCAGCGCCTCTTCCGTATAACACGGAGAACAAATCATTTCCCTGTTCACGCACAGTTTGTGCATCCCCTTGTGCTCCTGTACAGGCTGCTTTGCAGAGCTTGAAAGCTGATGCCGACCTGGACTCCTTTCCCCTTAGATCCAGGGGCGGATCTAGAAGGGTGGCATGGGGTGGCAAGTGCCACCCTAAAATGCTCCCTTGCCACCCCAAGTGCCACCCCAGTTTTGCATATGACAGTGTTGTTTATTAAAATAAGGTAGCATTAACAGTTTGAGCGTAGTTACAGTCAACAGTGAATATAAATGCTAAAACTGAATATATTGCATAGTGTTTCCCCCTGCACCAGTAACAAATGGTTCAGCCCATAGCAGGACCAGCTTTTTTCTTGTTTTCAGTAACAAGCGATGCTTATGATTGTGCCAAAGCACATTTTGAACAACACCATGGGAATTTCGGATTTTACACAGGTGGTTGGATGTTAACCCTCCGTGGTCCACGGACACGCTGCACCTCCAAATCTCATGACTGATGTAAGCTGACATAGCAACAAGCTGCAACCACACTGAGTCTCTATTTCAGCAAAATCACAAATTCACATTTGTGGATGTGACATCACAATAGTCAAGCTTTTATACTCTCTATGGTAGCGAGCTTTGTAGCTGCTCTCAATTAAAGTCACTTACTGACAATCACAGTTCAAGTAAAAACATAACAAGACTAAATTAATCCAAAATGAAGAAAAGGACACCATGAGCTGCTCCAATAACCCAACAAATTAGTGGTGATATTGTTATAAAATCTGGTCTGAAGCCCAGAATAGATTTGTGAGACATGTCTGGAATAAATCATGCAAAGTAAAGAAAGGTAAAGTGAGTTAGCATGATAATTGTAAAGGCAGTAGTAATAAGTTAATATTTAGCAGGTATCAGATTAGATTATCATGCTAAAATGTACTTTTAGCGCATACAGCTGGATTGGATTTAACAAAGACACTCATTTCCATTGTTTATACTCACTTTATTAGGTACAATTTGCTAATAATAGCCTGGATCCCAGAACTACCTTAATCATTCGTGGCATAGATTTACCCATAAGAACCCATGCCCCTGTACACATTGAGGAAAGGTTCTGTTGAAGTTTCAAAATTGACTCTCCCAGTTTTCCTGACAGTAAAAATGGGTCTTGGCTCTTATTGGTTAAACAGGGTGCTGGAAATGTTCCTCAGAGGTTTTTGGTTCATACTGACATGACAGCATCACAAAGTTGCAGCACATCAATGATGTGAATCTCCTGTTCCACCACATCCCATCAGGCTCTAGTGGATTGAGATCTGGTGACTGTGGAGACCATTTGAGTAAAGATAAATCATTATCATGTGCAAGAAACCAGCTTGAGATGAATTGAATTTTGTGAGACAACACATTATTGTGGAGGCAGCCTTCATAAGATGGGTACACTGGGATCAAAAACAGATAGACATGGGCGGCAACGATACTCAGGTATTCAGTAGTACTCATTTGGCATAGCGGGTTAGCTTGCAGTAGTGCATGACTGGTGTGCTCATCCGCAAGTTCAGCATGTTGTTTGCTCAGAGATGCTCTTCTGTGTACCTGTCAGGGGTTGTGGTGTGTGGAGGCGAGGAAGAGATGACCCAAACGCTGGACTCACGGTGCAGAATGACGAGGATTTATTGGAGCGGGTGAATGAACAAAGCAGGAACGGCAAGACTAACTGACTGACTGAATGGCTGGCTGGCTGAATAACTGAATACAGACGGGAACGACAATAATGGCAACATCAACATCAATGACACGGCACTGGACTGGTGGAACTGGGGAACATAAATACACAGGCGGAATGATGAGTGATTAGAGACAGGTGAGTGAACAGCTGAACATAATGAACTAATGATAAATGGGAAGAGAACTAGAACATAATGCACAGAGTAAGGCTAACACAATAAAACAGGAAGTAGAACATGCAGAGAATGAACAATGAACACAAACTGAAAATACCGGGTCAACGGCCCAGGAACCCTGACAGCATCCTGGTTTTAATGAGTGGTTATGCGAGTTATTGTCACCTTCCTATCAGCTCAAAGCTGTCTCATCATCAGATTCAGCAGATTCAGAATGCTTTATTAAACTCTGAGGAAATTATGTGGTTACAGTTGCTCCAAGACAATAAGAACAGTAACAGACTGAATTAAATTAAATAATACAATATATTACAAAGTTCACAAAATTGGGAAATAGCTCTACTATATACAAATAGCTCAATTATAAATATTCAGAATATTACAGAGATGAAATTTAATTCTGTAAAAACTGTTAAAAAAAATCTTGGCCATACTGTACCTTAAAATAGAGGATTATCCATGGTATGAATCCATTGAGCAGCTGAAAGGGGGGAAGATACTTTAATAACATGCATGCTTAATGATCTTTGTGTTTACCTCTACAGGCAAGGTATACTACTTCAAACACAACACTAAGTCTCTTTTGAGAGTCTCTTTGTGAGACTTTGTCTGTGTGCAATGTTTTTACAGTTTGAAAATGAATAGCCCGACTACTTAAAGGTCTGGATATTAATTGAAATTGTAAGCCTAGGTAGTGATGGAACATGTTTTATAGTGAATAACATAACAAGTTTACAAATGAAAAATACAAATGTGCAAAAGGAAGTTGATTTATAGGTAATGTATTCATTTCACTGCTGAAAACAACTAGTAAAAGATTTCAGGTATGTTTACACACAAAGCTGCTTCAGGTAATGCCAAACACGTGAGTGACACTAGGAGCAATTAAAGTCCAAGGGCACCTGTGGGTGTAAGAAAAACAACTGAAGAAAGGAGTGAAACAGGGAAAACAATCAGAGCCGCAATAATAAACGTGACACATTTACCCAGAATGAAGACAGACTTTATATCTAGTGACTACAGAGCCAGCAGTACAACACTGATAACGCCTCTGTTACCTAAACATTTATTATTAAATTTGGCATCCATTCATCCATTCTCTTCTGCTTATCTTTATCACGGTCGCAGGGCTGAGGGATGGAGCGTATCCAAGGTGCCATATGGGTACAGTTGGGGCACAGGTCGCCAGTCTGTTTATTATTTAATTATATTGTTAATTGTGTTAGTTATTTAATTTTTTTTTTAATAAATAGATTTGGCAATGAAGATAAAAATATACATGGTCCAAATCATTTTTGATATTTGAACCAAATGTGCATGTGTGGCATCTCTGTTGTTGGAATTTTGTGGTTTGGGGGCTGACAGCCCGCTTTCTCTTACACATATTGTCATGGTTTGCTGTGTGGCAGGCAGGAGAAGGACCCAAGATGCAGACTCACAGACACAGGGATAAACTCAAAAAACACAGCTTTATTGCTGGCCACGAGAAGTAATACAAAATAACCTAAAACTGGGAAAACTAAAGCATGAGCTGTACAAGGAACCGAACCACGGGGAGAATTACACACAACATGAGGGAGAACGCGACGCCGAACAGAGGAAGACGCAGACAGAAATACACAGAGGGTTAACGAGGAAAGTGGGAACACACGGGGAACACAGCTGACACAGATAACCATAACGAGACAGGGCGGGGTGAACATAACACTGACGGGAGACGGGCAGAGTCAAACAGGAAGTACACAGAGGTTCAGGCAGGAGGAGAGAGCACGGGGAGAACACAGACATAACAGGCTGGGGAAAACATGGAATTAAACACGAAAGGGGACAAGGGCTCATGAATACATAGAGGGGCACACAGGGGGTGAGAGTCACAAAGGGAAAGCACACAGGGAACAACATAACAGGGCGACTCAGGAAACATGGCCTAAATAGGGAAAAAAATACAAACATACAAGAAAACTAAGAATACTGGGCCAACATGGCCCAGGACCATGACACATATACAGTTACATCTATTGTTAAGAGGGCACATAATCTCAAACAGCTTCTCAGCATTGACAAGGAAGTTATTCCAAGGACACTTCCTTAATCCAGGGTCCAAAAAGCCATTGTTGGTTTGTTTAACGATCCTTATCTTTGTTGATTTGTAGCACGTGTACCCATCTTATTCTTTATAAGCTGTGCTTCTCTGTCTGTTTTTGAACAAGTCAATGGCTCATTGTCCTGCTTTTGTCTGAATTGCATCACTGACAGAGGAACAGCAACTTCAACAGTATTTGGAAAAGGTAGAAACATTTTTAATGGTACACAAAGTTATTGTTAACTTTATTTTAATAAGACAGACAGAGATACAGTGTTTAAAGAAAGCCTCTCCTTTTATTTGTTTATGTATGTGTGCTTGCATTTCAATTTAGTGATTTTTTTTTCTTATCTTCTTTTAAGTCAAGATCATTTTACATGTGAGTCAAGTCAATATGAAAAATGTTGACTTGAGTCAACTAACAATACTTTATTGACTACAGCTTCTCACACAAGATACTACAGTATATGATATTGAAACCATATTACAAAAGAGAAACTGCACATAAAATTGTGTGTGAGCACAGCATTTTAATAAAAAGGAAAATTACATTTTTGAGCAGTGATGATTAAAACAAATTTCAGAAATCTCTGCCATGGAAAAACTGCGAAAGAGGTATCCAGATTTTTTTTTTTTTTAAAAGCACACTATCTTAATTAATGTTTTTAAATACAGGTAAGGAATCACAGAGAGTTGATTCTGTTCATCCAGTCACAGAATTTTAAGTGGGAGAAACATTTCCTCACCCATCGAGCCTCAGCTGACTGCAGGTTTACTCAAGCTTATAATATTATGCAAATCACTAATACGCACACTGTTGTGCCCTGTACTGTTTATAAGGTTGGGGAAACCTGCAGTCAGGTGAGGCTGCATGTTTGCAAAAATTTGGTGTTCTTTACTTTACTGAGAACTTTAATGACGATCACTTATCTCTCTCTCTCTCTCTCTCTCTCTCCAAAATATCAGTCATTTTCACTGCAGCTATGCTGTCTTATTTAACCCCACCTCCTCTCTACCTGAGCCTCCTTCTCTTTCTGTCCTGCAACTCCGCTGTTCTTTCCTGTCAGACTGGAAACTACAGCCAGTGCACGGTTGCTCCTTTTATACCAGGTCACAACCTGGTGGGGGAGGGATTTGATGTGGTCACTCTGCGACGAAAGGGAGCCTATATGATCGATGTGAATACCTACCTCACACCAAGTGAAACATGTACTCTCTGCTCCAACCCGCTTCAAGGCAACATGCTGCAGAAAGTAAATAAAGATGCAACAACAAAGAGCCATTTGAACAGTAGCACACACTTTATGTGTACATGTTCATGATCTGTCTTCATTTTCAGCTGCCAGTCTCTGCAGTGGACTGGCGTGCATTCAGCCGATGCAGTGCCGATATTTACAGCAGCATCCACACCTCTGTTAGGTATAGCCTTATTATTATGTTATATTATTATGATTGCTTCACAGTTAGTGTCTTACTGAGAGAAGGTTAAATGTTGTGTGACAGTTGAGTCGCTATCTAAAAATCTATATCTGATTAGTTCAGTCTCTGGCAGTGATGAAATTCAAGGATTTTTACTGCTAGACACCTTTTCTGATGTATAAATTATCTTTATTCTCTTCATCATATTATTCAGAGCTAATCTAATTACAAAAACAGGTCCTCATCTGTAAATACTAACTGTTTAAAATAATGGAAATCACCTTTGAAATCAAACTGAAATTTATCTGTGATTCTTTACTGTGAATTGTATTCACAGCTCTCTGGTTGACACCTACACCTCCCAGGACAGTACTGACTGGAAGGTAGGGCACATTTCACAACAGTTATTTACATAAAATTAACATATTTTGGTATTATCAAATAATGTCAATGTTACAATAATGATAAACATGTCAATATAGATAGATTTTTTTTTTTTTTAAGTATATGGTCTTAAGTCTTATTAGGAAGTTTTAACCTCATATTTTAAATACTTTTTCAGATTTTTGAATAATGGTCCCACCACCAACATGTGTTTTGCACTTTGAAACTGAGGCCATGTTTGAACATAAATCGAGATCTGTAATTTGGGACAGATAGATCAAATAATGTCTCATTATTGGCTGGCAAAAAAAAAAATCAATCAGTTGAACACACTAATTTATTTATTCTTTTTCTTATCTTTCATAACAGACTGGCCTAGATTTAGGGATATTTGTGGGAGGAAAGCAATCTGCTGTGTATAACTTTGCATCAAAAAGGGCCGCAGAGGACCGCCACATCTTCAGCACACACAGGGTCACCTGCAACCATTACAGGTAGGCTGTGAATAACTCAGAATAGTCATATAAATTTGGGTTATGTTGCTGGTTACAGAGATCATACAAATCCACTATTCTTAAAATCAAAAATTCTAAAATTCACAGATCTGGTTCATTTTCTCACAGCACAAATTATATATAAAGCAATAAATAACCTGCTTCCTGACAATATTCTAAAAATGTTTTCTAAAAGGGAACGGGGATACAATTTGAGGGGGGAATTAAATTTAAAACATCCTCGTATCCGTACAACATTAAAAAGTTTTTGCATCTCTGTGTGTGGAGTGAAGCTGTGGAACAGACTAAGTAAAGATATGAAGCAATGTCCAAGCATGGCGCAGTTTAAAAAGCGGTTTAAGGATATGGTTTTTACAGGGTACAGGGAAAAGGTAGAGATTTGATAGGGTGTTCTTGTCGAATATTTTCATGTGTGTGTGTATATATATATATATATATATATATATATATATATAATTGTAGGCTGTGTATCCTTGAGGTGTTAATGGGGTTATTGAAAATGTGTATATGTGCGTATGTGTGTATATACGTATGTATGGATAGATAGAAACATATATGTGTATATATTTAAAAAAAAAAAAATTACACATAACATATAATGTAATTGCAAGGAGGTATTTCTGTAGTCTATTGATACTAGATAGTGGAAAAGGGGTGGGATTAAATAAGCTTATGCTTCTTCCTGCTCCTTTTTGAACATGGACGTTATTTGGAGTTGTGGTTGCTCGTTTTCCTTTTGTTTGCTTTGTTCATTTGTCTCTTTTAATTCTATTTTTTTTATACTTTTTCAACATGTTCAAAATAAAGATTCAATCAATCAATCAATCAATCTTTGTTTGAAAAGCTTCTGTTGAGATCATTTACTAATCTGTCTCTTTGTGTCCAGTTACCGAGTATCAAACAGTCCGTCTCTCAGCTCTGAGTTCAGTAAGGATTTAACCAAGCTACCACATTTCTACAACAGCTCCACCAGAGCTCAGTACAGTGAGCTTATACACACCTACGGCACACACTACATCCGCCAGGTTAAAGCACATGCTGTGAATTTTCTTATTATTCCTTATTATTATTATATTTCTTCAAAAAAATGATTTATAACACCGACTTTGCACCACATTGCAGATTCACCTTGGTGGTCGACTGAGGCGAGTCACAGCTGCACGAACCTGTCTGTCCTCACTGAATGGACTGTCCTCAAATGAGGTACTTTATAACACTTATTAAAAGCATAGCATTACTGAGGCACTTCAAATAATTTTATCTCAAAAATAGCGACTGAAAATGTAAGAGTAAGACTAATTGTTCTGGGCTTGGCTGCCCCACTCGCTCGCGGACGCGAGGGCGAGACCCATGGGAAGGGAGGACTGGGGTGGTAACCTGGGAACTGAGGACATCCTAAAGAACCAGACAGGGTGTGGGATCCCTGCCACAGTTGAAAGGCTTACATGAAAGGGGGCCGCCCAATTTTCTCCGCCGGCTAGATTCTGTGCGAAGGGGGCAGCGCCTCTAGGCTGTGCGTGTGTATGTGAAAGTGCGAGAGGTTGCATCTCGATTGAAATTGAGTAGTTAAATTCACCACAGGTGACAGCCTGTATGGGAGTGGGCCCAAGTTCTTTTGCTGGCTCGATTCTGAGCTGAGATTGTCAACTGTTACAGTTGACAGTCTGCCTGACAGTGGGGCTAAGTTCTTTCGCCAGTTAGACTCCGAGCTGAGTTCGTTGGCCCGCTGTAGTGCCTCTAGACTGCCTGGGTTAATTTTGGGCTTAGTAAATTAGACTTAAAGTTGAATTTTGCATCTAAAACCGTGTGTGTGGGTTTTGCATAGCGAGACACGTGCTCTGTATAGTATGTTGGCTCATGTGCCTGCAGTTACCAGACTACATATTTCTATACATACAGGGCAGTACCTCTGTCATGAAAGGCCAAAGTTAACCCTGTTAAAGTTGTGCCATACTGAACAATAATGCCAATGATTTTTTGTTGTTGTTTTTGCTTTGTTTTACATAAACTTCTATAGTCCAATATTATCTTAGTTATTAGAAACTTCAGTTTTTCTTTAGTCCAGACTCTTACTGATCCTGTAATTAAGTATTCGATCAATAAAGCTATGATTAATATCTTAGTGACATAATTTGTAGCCTACATATTTCGTCACCATAATTTTCTGTCCATCCATCCTTCCGTTCTCTTTCACTTATCCTTATAAGAGTCACAGCTATCATAGGGTCATAGGTTGTCAGCCTAACGCAGGGCTAATTAACCCAATTTTTGAGACATAACATTACATAATGCTGCCAAAATTTAGATTAATGCTCAAATGGTTGACTTTACACAAGACAATAGAAAACAGAGAAGTAAGTAGAACAGTCTTTAGAGTTAAAATTGACATACATGTGGCACACATCTTGATGAACTGGATTTTTTTTTAAATCTGAGTCTGGATGTAAACACCTATTTTCTCTCATCTTTCAAAATTGGTTTGACAGTCCTTCATACACTCTATCATCTTCATTTATAATGTCATCATCTTCTCTCTCCACAAGACTGCTTGTGTGCTTTGTTAAGAGAAGAGCATATGCATGATTTAAGTTGGTTTTAATACAACAGCTTTGACATGTTTATGAAACTGACGTGATCAGACAGCCCCGCAAAATCTTCACAAACTGTGTTTGTGTTTTTTTTTTGTGTGTGTGTGTGTGTGTGTGTGTGTGTGTGTGTGTGTGTGTGTGTGTGTGTGTGTGTGTGTAAATACAAAATGCAGTTTTTAAATGATGATCTTATTGATTAAGGGAGCAAAGTTATCCAAACCTATCTAGTCCTGTGTGAAAATTGTGATTGTCTCCTCTTGTTAAATCATGCGTTACTGTGATAAACCACACTATTTGAAAAGCTGAGTTCAGGTTAACTAAACACACTCAGGCATGATTACTGGCAGACCTGTTGAATCAAGAAATCACGTAAATAGAACCTGTCTGACAAAGTGAAGCAAGGTAAAAAGCATCTCAACAAGCCAGACATCATGCCACAATCTAAATAAGTACTTGAGAAACACAAAAGTCACTGCCATCTATCAGTCAAGAAAGAGTTACAAAGCTATTTCTAAGGCTTTGGGACTTCAGTGAACCACAATAAGAGCAATCATACATCAACTGAAAACCTGGAACAGTGGTGAGGCTTCCCAGGAGTGACCGGCCGACCAAAAATACTCCAAGACCACATTGACAATTCATCCAGGAGGTCACAAAAGACCCCAGAACAACATTAACTGTAGGCTTCGTATGTCTCAGTTAAGGTCAGTGTTCATGATTCAACAATAAGAAAGAGACTGGGCAAAAATGGCATCCATGGGAAAGTTCAAGGAGAAAACCACATCTGAACAAACAGAACATAAAGGCTCGTCTCACATTTGCCAAAAAACATCTTCATGATCCCCAATACTCTGTGACTAATGAGGCAAAAGCTGAACTTTTTGGAAGGCTTGAGTCCTGTTACATCTGATATAAAACTAACACAGCATTTCATGAAAAGAACATCACACCAGCAGTAAAACATTGTGGTGGTTTTGTGATAGTATGGGACTATGTTGCTGCCTTAGGCCCTGGAAGACTTGCTGTGGTATTTGGAACCATGAATTCTGCCGTCTACCAAAACATGCTGAAGGAGACAGTCCGGTCATCTGTTTGTGACTTCAATCTGAAGCGGACTTCTGCAGCAGGACAATGATCCAAAATACTCCAGCAAGTCCACCTCTGAATGGCTTAAAACAAAAACAAACTGAAGACTGGAGTGGCCCAGTCAAAGTCCTGACCTGAATCTGATTGAAATGATGTGGGATGAATTTTAAAAAAAATTTCAAAAACCCTGAATGGCTGAGTTTGTGGCTGAAATACAACAATTCTGAGTGGGCCAAAATTAATCCACAGCACTGTAAAAGAATCACTGGCAGTTATCGCAAACCCTTGATTGCAGTTTTTGCTGCTAGGGATGGCCCAACCAGTCATTAGGTTTAGGGGAAAATCACTTTCTCATACAGGTTCATGCAAGTTCTTTCCCCTTAATAATAAAAACCTTCATTTAGAAAGTGTATTTTGTGTTTATTTTGTTATCTCTATCTAATATTTAAATTTCTGTCATGATCTGAAATATTTAAGTGTGACAAACATGCAAAAAACAAAAAAAAGGAAATCAGGAAGGGACAAACAATTTTTCACACCACTGTATATATTTATAGTACAGCTAGAAATGCAGAGAAAATGCCCTTGATAGACACTGACATTTTGTTTCCCTTCCTGTCCTGCAGGTCCACTCCTGTTTATCACTGGGTTTCTCTGTCGGCTTGGGAAAATTGAAATTATCCAGTAACAGACAGTCTTGCAACAAGGTCCTACAAAACCAGGGTCTCTCGTTTATGTACAGCACTGGACTCCACCAACACTACACAGAGGTGGTAGGAGGCAATGGTTGGTTGGGAGAGTTTGCACTCACCCAGAATGACTCCCTCGGCTTTCTAACTTGGCTGAGCACCCTGAAAGATCACCCAGATGTTGTTTCCTACTCCCTTCGGCCAATCTATAGCCTGATGACAAATGGCACACAAAAGGCAGGGATGAAAGCTGCCATAGAGGAGTACTTGGAAGATAACGCTGTGAGAAAGTCACCCAATGAGCCAAACTGTGGGTGGCACATTCCTAATCTGGCTTCCAACTGCTGTCCTCTGCAAGCCTGGAGGGGGACGCTAAGGGTTACCATTGTGCGAGCCTGGAATTTGAAAGGAGATCCAGTTGGAAAAACTGAGGGGTGAATAGACTCTTGTCTATTAAGATCTGGCTGGTGTGGTATATCAAGCAGACTTAATAATTCTTCTGCTGCTCTTCTTTCTTTTCTTCTGATCACAGCTATGCTAAAATGTGGTTTGGTTCCTTCTATCGGAAGACTCGTTGGATTCGGTCAAACAATCCCTGGTGGAACGCGAATTATGATTTAGGCAAGGTCAGTAAACCCTCATTATAGATCATGATAAATTGTTTGGCCTCACAGTCAGCAGAGTTGATTTACTTTTCAAACCTGAAGCCTATCAACAGTGTATAGCTCATGCACATATCTTTCTACGTAGCACTTTTAATTCTTATCCCTACTTTTATTTTTTCATGTCTATTTAAGTGCTATTTATGACACTATTTAAGTGCTATTTATGACACTATGTTTGCACTGAAGCACCGCAGCAATTTCCTAATGTTGTAAACCTGCTCAACATTTGGCAATAAACCCCCTTTCTGAAAACAGTTTACTACGGGTTTTTTTCTTGTTCTTGTTTGTTTTTTCGACACAATATATCACACAAAGCCATAGTTTAGCTAATACCTAAAAAAATGCAAAAGCATTACCTCATCATCAATCCAAATAATCAGACTCTACTACTAAACTACTAAACTTCTGTTTTTAAGTTGAGCTTTAGAACCGTTGTAATGACAAATACCATGTATGTTAGTTGACTTGGAAGAAGTAATGTTAGCTAGGTAGTGGTTTAGCAAACATATACATAAACATATATGCATATTCATATTCAAAGAGCCATTCTTTAAATTGATTCCAATAATCAATCTCCCTCGAATCCACCGCTGTGTCTTTCACACAGTTAATGACTCCTATGGCCCAGTTTTAAATGCTGCTCTTATTAAGCATGTACAAATGGTTTATGGATTTGTCCTATTTCATTGTTCTCGTTTGTGTTTATTTTTCACTAGTGCTAAAATTAACATTGGTAGGATAAAACTATATTAAATCTTGTTTGATTAATTTTCTCATGAAGGTGGACACACACTTGGGTTTGAAGGTTGAAGTTTGGGACAAGGATGTATGGCATGATGACCGTCTGGGATCATGTTTCAAGTATCTTCAGCAGGGGACACACACATTTACCTGTCCAGCTAAAAGAGGTGGTTTTGAGGTCCGGTACACTCTGGCATGTGACCCTCATCTAGCTGGAGATCGGTGTAATCGTTACAAACCATCTGCAAAATAAGAAATATATTTTGTATGTTATCTTCATAATAGTTCTGTTGCTCTAATGAACTGTAAAGATTAATGTGATACTTGTCAGTTTATGCATTTATTTTTCTACTACTAAGACATAACAATATTCCACTTGTTCTTTTATATTTCTTAGAGTTTAGTCACCCTTTTTTTATTCATATGAATTTGGTTTACTATACCCTAATATTGCTTAATTTAAAAAAAATTAAAAAATCTTTTTTCTTTTGGTTTCAACAGATTAAAATGATAAATATAGACTTATAAATCCAAACCCATTACATCAGCTGGTTTGTATTCCTACTAATTTGTGAGTCTAGTTTCAGTAATGTAAAAATGTATGTGAAACCTCTAAAGGACTGTAATTCACATAAGACCTCTAATTAATTCATTAATTAAATGGATTAGTGTGTTCAAATGTTTAACTGTGTGTATTATATGCAATAAATGTAATAAAAATACAAAATAAATAATGCAATTCATTTTTTCAGATCATCATGTCTTACTGGGATGTGACAGGGCCAGAAAGTCAACAATTGTAACTATTTATGACTTACAGACAGTATTTACCGCACTATAATGCACACGTAAAATTCTTTAATTTTCCTTGTTCCTTGTTCCTTACATCCGGTGTGCCTTACATATGAATTGTGGTTGTGCTTACCAATTTTATGTGTTACACGGCTCTCAAAAATCTGTCAAAAAAAGTTTTAGAATAACTTTGGTAAGCTTCGAAGCGGCACCGTTCGATGGATTGTCGAAGCATTACGGCTAATATAGTCAGTAGCCTTGCGGAGTAATCAGGGTCAAAGTCCATCAGCTTCAGGTCCCAAAGTCAAACAAACACTGCTACATCACTGAGAGTTAAAAACTGTCCAAATTCTTTCATCTTTAATAAAATGATCAGCGTTGCTGCTTTACCAGGTGTAACAATTAAGTTTAACATCCAGGCATCCATGAAAACAGAATTTATTAAATTTAACGGAGTTAGAAGTTAACAGGAAGTTAGCTCGCTAGTTTCCACCTACACATGATATGCCATGTTCTGACTGAGAGATTTCTGAAAAAATTAAAACGTACAGCTCTGCTATCACTTCCAACATAAACGAAGACAGAAAACGAAACAGCAGTGACTTTTGTAGGGCTACTGAAGTTGGACGAGCTGGTATATAATGATGTGCTACGTGATCACTAGTGACACAGCTATGTTAGCATAACATAAGCTGGAGCATGAACGCTAACTTATTTCCACTTTATAAAAGTTAACGCCAGGGTTCCCAATGGTTAGAGACAAATGCAATCGCATGGCAGGATGCTGTAAACGCACCAAACTTCCGTCAGAAGAACAACTGAGACAATCCATCCACAATACGAGGTTAGTCATTAATATACTGCAAAAACATGGGAATAGAGCAGCTGCCAGACAATTCAACAGTAATGAATCAACGGTACGGAAGTGGAGGAAGCAGGAAGAATGAGTTGAGTAAACTTTGACTTATCTGACTCTTTTGTTTCACTCACTTAATGCGCCTTATAATCCGATGCACATTATGGTCTGAAAAATAGGGGAGTTCCTTGATCATTAATATGCAAATTGTCAGTGGTTGATCAACAATCCATGGTTGTCCTTCTCTCCTGGAACGGCTGGAGCTTTCTATAGGCGCCTTCCCAGCTTTGACAAATGTCCAGCTGGGATAACCACATTTACTCCGGGCCTTCTTGATGTGATATTCTTCTGCTTCCCTGGCCACTGTGTCTGTGGGAATGGCGTTCGCTCTCTGTTGTAGCGTCCTGATGACACCCAGTTTATGCTCCAGTGGATGATGAGAGTCAAACCTTAAATACTCATCCATATGTGTAGGTTTACGGTACAATGAGTTTTGATCAGTGGTCATTGATCAATGGTCATGAAAATTTGCATATTCAAGGAACTGACCTCCCAGCCAATTGTTCCTTTAGTGGTGCTAGTTTCAGTCATTATACAAATGTACTGTTTATAAAATTGGGGAAACCTTCAGTCAGCTGAGACTGAAGAAGTTGGATGAGTGACGAAACGTTTCTCCCTCTGACAACGCTAGGCCCAGATGAACAGAATCGAACTTTGGGGATTTACTTACCTGGATGATTGAGCATGCATCAAGAAATTGAAAATGCATTTAATTCCTATTGGAATATTTTGGGGAATTAAACAAAATAATTTCTCTACAGCTCACTGGTTGAAGCATACACCAACCAGAACAGCATCGACTGGAAGGTAGGAAACATGTTGAGTGAAACATGCAAATCATATTATTATCACTGCAAACTGTTGATGTAGTCCTGTAACCATTTCTAGCTCCATGTTTAAAAGAGTATCCCATGACTGAACATTGTAAGGACAATATTTAAAAGAACAAAAAGAAGCGAAATTACCAGGCAACTACAGTAGAGCCCTACAAACATCATACATACATGTTTTCACCCTCAACTTTATTGAGGAAGATCAACCCCATGCTTGCTTTAATACACAATTCAAAATAAGAAACAATCACCTGCAATAACATGCACACACCATGCACTGTAATACACAGGAACAGAAGATTGTGAGAAATGTGTCTCTGTAGAGGCTATAAAAATAATCAGGAAACAAAGGTGGTGGCCGGGCCTTAGTCCATGGGGCCCGGCCGGGGACAGCCCGAATAGGAGACATGGGCCCATCCTCCCGCAGGCTCACCACCCACAGGAGGCGCCATAGGGGTCAGGTGCATTGTGTGCCGGGCGGCAACCATACACACTATGAGGCAGTCCTGTTTGAAATTTCCACCAAATCTACTTTTGTGTTTGTAGTGCTGTGTTTCCTCAGTGGATGCAGATGGTCAAAGTCTGTGATTTCAAATATGTATAGTGTCATTTCTCTACATAACACAGAAATATGAATTTACAAATCAAACAATTATTCAGAAACAAAATGTGCAAAACCCAAAATAAACTAATCTTCAGTTTAGAGCAAAGGAATCATCTATTAATGTTGTGGAGTTGTTAAACACACACAAACTGCTCTAAGATGAATAACTCAGTGTGGAGATCAGGGAAATATTTTACTGCTACTATTCATAACCATCATCATTACCATTACATTAATTATCATTTCATCAAAGCATTTATTCAATAGATTACACATGTTCTTAGTTAAGATTATTACACCTATCACAGAGAGCTTCAGTCTGGTAAAAGGTTAGAAGCATCAACGGGCGGGGTGAGGCTGAGTGCGTTGGAGGTCGAGACACACACACACAAACAGTAGTTAGACTCATATTTAGGTAAGAGTTCAAATAATAGTTTGCAAAAGCTTGTGACTGCAAAATTGTGTCTGCCTAAGGGACAGTTTGTTCCAGGAGATAAGCGAGAGTTAGAAGATTAATAGGAAGCACCTGGCCTCGAGATGGAGAAGATGTCCTTTTAAATGTGTCCAAAGTCGTCAACAGAACATTTGTGGTTTTGAAACTTATGCATGTGTTGTATCTGTTCGACGCATGAGGGGGCGTCATAAACGTAAACCCTGATGGTATAAAACAACTGCTTGTGTATCATTGGGCGGAGATCGATGCTGTCTGTGGGCAGTGTTCATCTCTCCACGCGCGTGTTCATTAAAATCATTGTCTGACCGAAGCTCTTCTGGACCATTATTGTTTTGTGCTCACCCTCAATATTTGAACTCGTAACAAACAGCAATAACGGCAAAACATGTAATGGACGTGCTGGTCCACTAGACAACATCATGTTGATGTAATGCTTTGGGTCTCTTATCCAAAGTAAAGAGGCTGAAATAAGGTGTCCATGAGTATCAGTTTTCAACATTCAGTATTAAGAGCCAAAGACTGTACGGTTGGGCCAGTCGTCAAGTCCTGGAGCAAAGTGAGCCTGCAAATCAGTAAGATGCAAATCAGTTTATACCTTTCATTTAATGTTTGAATTTGTTTATTCTGAGTTTTATTGTTCAGTTAGTTTCCACAGTTCATATATCATGTGTAATTTTTCATTAGTTTCAGTGTTTGTTTGTATTTTATTCTATTATTGATGGTTGTGTTGACAGATTTGTCCAAATTTAAAGCTATAGATGTGAACTTTTGGTTCCTTTATTATTACCTGTATAATTAGTTTCAGTGTTTGTGAAGTGGGGAAGGAGGACCCAAATGCAGGACTCGTGCGATGAACAGTGCTCTTTATTTACAGTGGAGTAAATAAGACAACACAATAATCCCTTGAGCTCCCTCGACTCCTGTGTCATGTCTTCACCCAAAACTCTGTGCTCTCTGCTCCCATGGCTGCTGTCCACCTGTGCTCCACTCTCCTCCTCCTGGGAAAAAAAACAACAGAGGCAGCCGTCAGGACACCATGCCACCTAATCAACAAAAAACAGTCCCAGTCTAAATAATCTAAAAGACCAGCTCCAGTGATGGCAACACACAGTTCTAGTGACCAACCCAGTGGGCGGCACTCGAGACAAAGCAGTTCAGGTGGCCTGCATACATTTAGTATCAGGCTTTACAAAAAAAAGTATCAACTATGTTAGGATCCATGTTCATCATGTGTGATGTGTGTTTACATTTGAAGGTGTTTGTGGATTTGTCACCTCTCTTCAAGGTGTGGTTGTGTTTTTGATGCTGAAACAGATAAAGACTGCTGATTGGCTTAAGTAGGGTTCAATAAATATTGTTGGTTGTTGGTTTGGGCACTGCTCGGGTCCACATGAAATAAACTGCTGCTCATGTGTTTGTAGGTTCTCAGTCATCCAGGTCATGGTTGTCTAAGGAGCCTGGAAAGAAAGCGACTTCACTTCTTTAAGGTTCTGGATGATGTTAAACTTCTGATCCAAGAAGCTTCTTCACTTCATGAGCTTCCTTTGCTCATGTTCCACCTTTGCACAGTTTCATGTCATGACAATGCAGTGCAGATGTGTCAAACATACAACAGAGGGCGCTATGCACATTCACTGAAGTCAAGAAAAATACAAGTGGAGGAGGAAACAAACAGAAGCATCAAGAGAGAAAACTGAAGTGTTCAAAGCGAGTTACTTTAGTCTCTTATTGTAATATTAATCGACATCTAAACATCACGTTGATGCTTCGTGTTTGAGTTCCGTGTCCTTTTACTGCTCAGTTGGAAAATATTGATGCAATTTAAAAGACGAGGAGAAGAGTAATTTCTCTGTACTACTTCAAAAGTAATTTGAAAGCACTGCATTGAATTCAGTGTTTAGAGTTCGGACAAAACAATGGACGGTTTCAAGAAATGTATTTTATCAACAAAACTTATTTTGATGGTTACTGTATTTATTTTAATGCCCTCAGTGCAGTGATTGAAAAAAATTTGATCTGACACCAATGAGCCAACAGCCTCCACGTAAACATTTCCACCCCCAACAATCAACTCAGATTTATGAAGTCTATCATGTTCAGGCCCTGCAGCTGATTGGTGGCATGTCTGATCAGAAAGCCTTTCTGCATCTTCACAGTGTGAGTCTGAGAGTTTCTGAACAACAGGATGAGCTGCTACACACCTGACACCACATTCAAACACACACAAGCTGCAAATCTGACACAATATTTTAGACCAAAGAAAAAGGTTCACAATTTGCAGTTAACATGAAGATATTCTAGAGTAGAAACAACACACAGCACACAAGTTTCATGTAGAGATGATTGTTTATTCTGGATGTTATTTTCATTCAGTTATTTTCCATTATTTTGAGCAATTTTCTGATTTATCCAGTTCATGTTAGAACAAACATTCACAGTAACAGCTGGTCCAGTACAGACACGTTCAAAACCAGAACTGATTACACCATAAATCATGTTGTTGTAAATCACTCCACCACCAGAATCACCCTGAGAGAAGAGAAATGTAGTTTGTGCTCCCCAAAATATCTAAAACAAACACAGATGATATACAGTAATATTAGCAGTCAACCAACCCCACGTGCATCTACTTGATGTTCTTCCAGACACAGCCTGTTGTTATATGGCACATATGCAGTACACTGAGAGTATCTGGTAGGCTCACAGTCAGCAACACACGTCTGCACACTGAAGATTAGGTGGTTCATCAGGGACTAGAGAAAAAGGAAAAGAACAAAAGTTATTCATAATCTTTCAAAAGCTAAAATTTTGAGTAGAATGATGTTTCGTCTTTTTTTATGTTTCCAAATGATTTTTAAACAAGGAACTTGGCGCACAGTATATCTACTCCAAAATTTACAAAAAGAAAAAAAAAACTTGTTCTTCATTCAGTATTAAACAAAAACATAAATGTAAGTATAAAACAGTCACAGAAACCGAAATCAGATTCTAGCATTAACTGTGAAATAATCAAACAAAATATGGTCTTACGTGTGTGGCCGGTGGCATTTACTCTATAACCACCAAGTCCTGCAACCTGAACGACGTCTCCTCTAGAAACAGACAAAAAACAAAACAATCATAAATTAATTTCACATCCATCCATGTGACATGAACACAAAATAAATCAATAAATCATATGATGTACTCTGCAGGCTGGGTATTTCCAGGTGGCTGAAGTGTTTCCAGGCTCCTTAGACAACCATGAGCTGGATGACTGAGAACCTACAAACACACACGAGCAGCAGTTTATTTAATGTAGCGGTGAGCACTGCCCAAACCAAAAACCAAAAATATATATTGTACCCTACTTCAGCCAATCAGCAGTCTTCATCTGTTTCAGCATCAAACACACAACCACAATTTGGAGAGAGGTGAGAGATCCACACACCTTCATGAGAGGAGCCACTAATGTAAACTAACACCACACATGATAATCATGGATCCTAACATAGTTGATACTTTTTATGTGAAGTCTGGCACTAAACCTCTGTGTTCCTGTCATACTGCATGTACTATATATACATGTAGCATATACAAAGCACAATAATTAAGCTGTTAATAATTAACAATGTCTTCTGTAAGTATTTCATTTTAAAATACACATCCATTCATGCATTAATGTTTAATGTGTGAAACATTTAAAAAGTTAGTTAAATAATAAATAATAATAATGATAAAAACCCTCTGTAAAGGACTTTTGGATTTGATGCTTTATGTCTGGATCTTGCGCTTTTGCACCATCTGGTGATGAACAGTGGAATGTAGAGTTGGTTGCATTTTTGGGTCTCCACCCAACCCCTTTTTTGCTAGCACACATCGTTAGCTCCACACATGGAAAAAGTAATGTTCAAAATTAAATAAGTGCAAGAAATCAGAATCAGAATCAGAATACTTTATTGATCCCTGGGGGAAATTATTTTTTGTTACAGTGCTCCATTATAAACCAACATTAAGACAAGACAGACAATACACTAACTAAGAATAGTACAATATATACATATATATACATACATACATACATAAGTCACTCATAAATAAATAGCTGAAAAAAAAACATGTGTAGTTGTAGCAGCAAACAGTGTGTTAAGTGGATGCGTTGTACAGGGAGATGGCCACAGGCAGGAAAGATTTCCTGTGTCGTTCAGTGGTGCTTTTCGGTAATCTCAGTCTCTCACTGAACGAGCTCCTGTGACTGACCAGCATGTCATGGAGTGGGTGGGAGGTGTTATCCAACATTGTCTTTATCTTGGACAGCATCCGCCTCTCCGACACCACCTTGAGGGAGTCCAGCTCCATCCCCACAACATTGCTGGCCTTACGGATCAGTTTATTAAGTCTGTTGGCACCTGCGACCCTCAGCCTGCTCCCCCAGCATGCAACAGCATAGAGGATCGCACTGGCCACAACAGACTCATAGAAAATCCTCAGCATTTTCCGGCATATGTTGAAAGACCTCAGTCGCCTCAAAAAATAGAGACCACTCTGGCCCTTCCTGTAAAGTGCTGTGGTGTTTTTAGCCCAGTCCAGTTTATTGTCAATGTGTACTCCAAGGTATTTATAGTCCTCCACAATGTCAACACTGACCCCCTGGATTGAAACTGGGGTCAAGTGTTTCCTGGTCTTCCTGAAGTCCACGATCAGTTCCTTGGTCTTTGCCACGTTGAGCTGCAGATGATTCTGCTCACACCACGTGACAAAGGAGTCGACCACAGCCCGGTACTCTGTCTCATCATCCCTGCTGATGCATCCAACCACCGCAGAGTCATCAGAAAACTTCTGAAGATGGCAGGTCTCTGTGCAGTGGCTGAAGTCTGTGGTGTAGAGGGTGAAGAGGAAGGGGGAGAGGACAGTCCCCTGTGGTGCCCCTGTGTTGCTGATCACCTTGTCAGACACACACTGTGGGAGACGTACATATTGTGGTCTTCCTGTCAGGTAATCAACAATCCAGGACACCAGAGAAGCATCCACCTGCATCGCTGCTAACTTATCACCCAGGAGGGTGATAGAAAAAGATAATAAGGCCACAAAGGACTATTTAGCCCCTCCTGGAGGTCAGCTTACTTTGTTTGTGTTCTTTAAATGTTTTATTTTCTGTGATTGATTACGTTGTGATTGATTTACACAAAGTAGAAGAATCCATTTTGATGTGATGTTTTTAAAAAAATCGTTTTCTTCTTTGAGCAGTTCTCCCGGGTCATCGAGACCAGAATAAACCCCGTTTTATAACTCTACATGGTGCCTACGTCAACCTTTGAAGGCGCTACACCCTCAAAAGAATCAGCTGTACAGCACATTTGCTGCTGTTGTTACCAGACACAAATATAAATGTGCCAAATTTTAGATCACAGGAAATATTTCTTAGAGCAGATTTTAAATCAGTAACTTTGCAAATTTAGAGGAAATGTTTTTGGACAACAAACGTGTCACATTTTAAACAGGGTTTGAATAATCAGCGCTGACATACAGGCATTTATGCGCTGGGTATAACAGACATGCTTACCGTGTGAAAGGACCGCGGATGTCTTGGAGCAGAGAAACATGCTGTATTGTTGTTTTTCTTTATTGCATAAGCAGCGCCCGACTGTCAGAAACGCTCTGTGCGGGTAGCAAAGTCGGCTCCAACGCACCTGCAGGTATCCATTTGAAAGAAAGGTGTCGCTGCGGCTAGGCTCTCGGGACAGTCAGGCTTTTATTTATATTTGCGGCATTCTGGTGCGTTAAAACTAGCAGCCTGTGTCCCGCTTAGATCACCATTCCGAACATTCAGATATTTAAATAAAATGATGAATCGGCGAGTGATGAGGAGCCACGTAGATCCTAAAATGAGGTTTGATTAAATTAAACTCTTATGAACAGTGATGACGCGTTCCAAACAAACGATGCTTTCTACATGGCCAAATTGTGTGCTAACTACCTCACAGCGCTGTGTCCGGGGTCCGAAAAAAAAAAGTTAAAACGATATACCTTGCGAAAGTTGTGAAGTGCTGAGGAAAATACTGTGTGTCTGATGGGGTGTTTTTATATAGGTGGACTTGGTTTCAGTTGACCTCTGACATGGAGAGATGAAAAGAGCAGTTTGTAAAGAAAAAAGGTGAAAAACTATGGAACTACAGTTGGGATGTGTGTGCTGGGATGCTCTTGATAAGTATGCAGCTTTTATTGTTTTATGACTTGTTTTGCTGACTGTTGGGGCCCTACCTGTAACCCCCTCTGTCTAATCATCAAGTCTTACTGTTGCAGTGCGTTTGTGTGGCTACTAGACAATTATAGGTTGCATTAAAGGAACATTGGGGCGTCGATACAGTGCTATTGTGGCTAGTTAAGAATATGTGGTTTTTAGAAGTATCACAAGAAAAGTTTATTTCTAAAGGGATACATGTTGTTTGTGGTACTCTGTTTTAAAAACTACTAGCCTCTGTGTCTTTCAGAGCACAAAAGAAAAGTGAAATGCTCCTAAACTAGTTAAAAAGTTATATTACTACTGAGGTTGAGGCAGTAACAAAGTTCTTTAAATCATCAGGCAAGAAAATCCAGAAACCTTGGGTTAGCCGTGGCTATCCGGGTCATCTGAATAGCCTCCTTCTCCTCCTCCTGCACAGGAAATAATCCAAAGTCCGTTACATTCCAAAGAGTCACTGAAATAAATGTCTGCTGGGTAAAACATGGTCAGGTTAAAAGCGAGCCGTTTAATGTGGCTGATAAAAGGCAGATGCACACAAGAAAGAACCTAACTAGAACTAAACTGGGAAAACTGAATGCTAAACACAAAAGGCAAAGAACAAAACCTTGAACGTTGCAAAAAACATAAACATGGAAACTCCTGGAGACATGGAACAACAGACAACTTGACAAAGAATGAACAGAAACACACAGAATAAATACACACAAGGGTGATTAGGGGGAAGTGGAAACACATGGGGAAACAGCTGACACTACTCTGACATAACGAGACAAAGGAAGCAAAGCTGACTACACTGACATAGGACACAGACCTTCAAAATAAAACAGGAAACATGAGACGCAGACAAGACAATATAAACTTGATAACATAAGACACGCAGCATGAAACACATAAAGGGCAAAGGGAGACTAAAACACAGGGGTAGAAGACACAAGGGGAATCTAAATAAACAAATGAGCTTAGATAACCTAATGAACTTAAAAATAAACCATAAACATCAAAAATAACCTGAAGGAAATTGCCTTCCCGGGTTTCCTCCGTGGCGTGAGCGATAAGCAGAGTTCTGTCCTTTCCTTCTAAGATTCCTAATTATTTAAAGTAACACTCAGGTATGCCATTCAGCGTGTTAGTACGAGCTCGGGAGCAGCTTGGGAGAACAAGAAAACAGAGACTGCTTTAGGTTGCCTTCCCAATCGACTCAAAGGTTTATTTGATACACAGCAGTTTATATAGATGAAAAAAGGTTCGTGTGTCAGCTTTCCCAGTTCAAACCGGTACAGACCAAATAAGGAAACGTCTTCCTGCCTTGTGAGCCAAGAAGTATCCTGTGTGTAGTTTATCAGTTCAGCTACAATTTATGATCATCCCAGCAAAATACACTCCTAGACATAGAATACAGAGTTCTTTCATCAGTGAATTCTGAAACGAACCACCTAGCCTTTAACGAGCCTTTTCCAGGAGAAAAAGAAAAAGGGAGGATGGGAGTAAGGAAGTGGTCTCATCTCTGTGGTGTTTTCGACCTTGAGGTACCAGCCTGTAAGTCTTACACATTAATTCTTGGGTCACAGAGAAAGAGAAAAACAACTAGTAGATCGGCCTTATTGAGTAACAGTTTTCCTGTATAAAACAATATCCTGTAAATGCTTACCGTGGTATCAAAATATCATAACAGTTCCCCTCTTTTATTATTTTTTAAAAATAATAACTCAAATAGAAAGGAAAAATCACAAATGTAATAACATAATATAAAGACAAATCATAAATGTGAAACAAATCATAAATGTAACTGGTCCTTTGAGGAAGCTTAATATCAAAAATTCCGAGAGCGTATACATGGTATCACACAACAGACAATAATCATCAAAAACATGCTGCAACGGTTACAAAGGCTACAATTAGTTCCTTCCATCTTCCAAACGTGTCCTGTAGCCACTTATGTAGCCACTGACCGTGACCTGTATTGGCAATTAGTTCTATCTGCAATGCTTCAAGTTTATTCATAGCTTGTGTGAATGAACCGTTAGGAGCGGTATTATTGGGAATGAAAGTACAGCATACATCAACGGTTACTAGACCACAGGTACCGGTCCAATTAACAGGTAAAGCTAATCTAAGAGTATTATTGCACAACCAATAAGCATGTGGGATTGGTCTAGTTAGGCGCGTGACCATGTGTGATTTAACTAACTCCCCCCAGTCAGTGTCATTTAATACACCGTCTGGGGGAACAATGATCGAGTCTCTGCTCGAACTTGAACTGTGTGTGTGTTCCTCCAGATATGATAAAACTTCAGCCACAGAGACAGCTAGCCATGTCTCATTACAGCGTGCACCTGGGGAGTCAGAGAAAAATGTGTAGTTATCCTTTGTGTAATCTATGTGTGTGTCTGGGCCAGTTAACTTTAATCTGCGCAGACATATCATACTAGTATTAAAATGGAGAGGGATCTGTCCTAAGGGCAGTGAGGGCTTTAACCTATTCTTAGGGCGTTTCATTGGGGCGCAGGTCCCTGCGGTGTCATTAGATAACTTCAATAATTCGCCTAATGGAGTCTCAGGGTTAGTTGGTGTGTGTGTGTGTCTAAGTAGGCAGTCGAGAGGGCTCAGAGTCAACTGTAAAGCGTCTTTAAAGAGAGCATTATCTCCGCTGATTTTCTCTAGTCCCTCAGTGAGGGGGAAACCGGATATGGGGTATCCTACTATTACCTGTTCTGGATCAGCCTTTGAACAGACATAACAGTTACTGTTTCCTAAATCACGAGCGGCTGTTCTGGCATTTTCATACCAGGCGTTAGCTCCTGCTCTAGAGGGTGCATAAAATGGTTTATTAGTGGCGTCTATGTTGCTATTTACTGATTTTAGGGAGCGTGAGGAGTGCATTAAGTAGGTGTCTTGCAAAATGGAGCATGAGGTATAGTCAGCAAAATATGACCTGCAGAAATGTGAACATGGTTGCAGTTTACAATACAAAATAGCAAAGAGAAATCCTAAGGTTAATGCGATAGATATGATAAATAACCTAAATATATAAGAAAGTATATAATAAAAACAGTTCTTCAGTCGTCTCCTGGCCTGGTCCCAGGTTCGAGAGACACAGAATAAGCGTCGTATGATGACAATGGGCATTTCATTTTCTCCATTATCAGGATGAAATGAGTCTGGCTTTATCAGGTTAGACATCATGTGGTACTTTTGGCTTTCTGTTCCTGCTGGATGTTTGAGTACCTTGTTGTTGTTCTTTCAGGCGTTGTGTGTTAATCAGTGATTGTGTGTGTGTATGTAACTTTTGGATCCGGGCGCTGGCTCGCCTGAGATGTCATCTACCCGTGTGTGTTTATTTGCTCTAGTTCCGGGCGCTGGCTCGCCGGAGATGTCGTCTGCTTGATCCGACGCCTGAGATGGTCCGATTGGGCTGGTCTTAACCCTGCTGGCATCAATCCACTGAGGTTGTCCGTCTGTGAGGATGCTGGTTCTTCGTCACTGCCAATACAGTCTGGGGCTGGAACACGCGCGGCCTCCCAGAGAGTCCTTGGTTTTAGTGGCTTCTCCAACATGCGTCTCCTTGTCTCCACTGGTGGAACTGTGGAGGGGAAAAGCTGAGAGAGACAAACTTTCTGATAGTTATTATTCAGTTTTTCTACCAGGTTGTGAACATCAGTGGACAATGCAATATACATCACCTTCTACTAGCGGTGCCCCTCTGGAAGCTGACCATGGTCTTGGAAATAGTCTTATTTCAAATGGAAATAATTTGGTTACTGCAGATTGAGTCATTCTAATCTCACACAGGACTTGAGTAAGTAATTTGACCCAGGTCATTAAAGTTTTAGCACATGTTTTAATTACTTCTCATGTGAATGAAGGTCCTCTATCACTGTTAATTTGGTGAGGTATTCCGAATCTGGGTATTATTTCATTGCTCAACTTTTGACAGACTACTTCTGCAGTTTCTTTTGAGGTTGGATAAGCTTCTACTCATTTACTAAATTGATCCACTATTACCAGTAAGTACTTGATGCTTCCTTGCGCTGGCATTTGTGTAAAATCAATTTGTAATGTATGAAATGGAAAATCTGGTTGTGGTAAATGCTGATGTTTTGCTTTTGATTTTCCTACATTAGTTCGTGCACATGTTAGACAGGTTGCTAATATGCTTTTTACTGCATGTCATGTTTTCTCAATTACAAATCTTGATTTTATTGCCCCTATTACCCCTCTTTGTCCGACATGACTCACACAGTGAAAATGTCGGGCAAGGACTGGCATCAGGGAATATGGGAGGGCAATCAAACGCTTAAGATTTTGTATAAGCCATCTCTGTCATCTAAGGTACAGTCATTATTCTCCCAATAGGTGTAATCACATGCAGA